GCGATTGACGTCGGGTGACAGAGCAAGTAACGGAGCGGGTGATGGAGCGGGGGCTGGGGCAGGCAGAATCGCCGTATCTTTATCACGGTTTTCCCAGGCCACGGTTTTCCCAATGGCGACGCTGCATATGCTGACGCAACGCTGTAGTCCCAACATGGGCCCCCTGGCCACGCTTGACTTTCTGGCCACATAGTCAACATACGGCTACGTTTACTTCCTCGGGCGGCTTGACGAAAAATTGCCACACCGCCGAGTAGGAAACTTTGCCCCCGCTACTCCTCACTGGCTGACTGCTACTTCCTCCGTGCACACCGGCACCACTACTGGCCGTGGTGGTAGGCTGCATTGGTGCTGGTGCTCTACTCCGTAACCGTTTGCCTCCACTGACACTGCTGCGACCCTGCTGCCTAATGGGGCAACCCACCGACTGTTTTGCTCGCTGGCAAGCTGGCACCCTCTTCTCCTGATGATGCGGAAGCAATAGCCTGATGACGACGAGGCTGCCAAGTGCGATCAGCCTCATCATCATCAATTAGGGTCTCCGCCTCACTACTAGCCCCCTCGGCTGTGTGTAGGTCAGGAGACAGACCTGTCTCTAGACCGGCTACCGAGCCACTCTCCTCGCCAGTACTTCTTCGCCTGGCTGCTGAAGAGGCGGATGTCTCCCCCCGTTCCTGACCGCCCTCTGTTAGCTCTTCCTCACTGTACAGTGGGCTGAGCCCACAGCATGCGATACTTCGCTTGGTGAGGGAACACCAAAGGACAGGGGCAGGTAGAGGACACGTGATTTCAGTGGGCTTGCTCCCGGGCAATGCCAACTAAACGGTTGTGTCTGACGTACCCACCGACCGTTGGCTGTAGGTGTCAGAGGTGACCTGGGAAAAGAGGAAGACGACCGAGTCAACCAATCGATGACGGCAGGGTTGTCGGGTGGAGACACAACCGCTGGATGACACCGGGAGCACTGGCCTCTGGCTGCGACTAGTGCTGCCTCGACCCCTTCCTCTGCTGCCACGTCTGCTCGCTCCTGAAAACATTGCCTCCTCTGCCACTCCTCTGCGTGTTGTCTGACATACTCTTTAATTCAATAGTGGTTGTGAAGCAGAAAGTAACGATTCTGTGTCCCTGAGTAACAATTCTGTGTCCCCGAGTAACGATTCTGTGTCCCTGAGTAACAATTCTGTGTCCCCGAGTAACGATTCTGTGTCCCTGAGTAACGATTCTGTGTCCCCGAGTAACAATTCTGTGTCCCCGAGTAACGATTCTGTGTCCCTGAGTAACAATTCTGTGTCCCTGAGTAACGATTCTGTGTCCCTGAGTAACGATTCTGTGTCCCTGAGTAACGATTCTGTGTCCCTGAGTAACAATTCTGTGTCCCTGAGTAACAATTCTGTGTCCCTGAGTAACGATTCTGTGTCCCTGAGTAACAATTCTGTGTCCCTGAGTAACAATTCTGTGTCCCTGAGTAATGATTCTGTGTCCCTGAGTAACAATTCTGTGTCCCCTGAGTAACAATTCTGTGTCTGTCCCTGAGTAACGATTCTGTGTCCCTGAGCAACGATTCTGTGTCCCTCAGTAACGATTCTGTGTCCCTGAGTAACGATTCTGTGTCCCCGGAGTAACGATTCTGTGTCCCTGAGTAACGATTCTGTGTCCCTGAGTAACGATTCTTGTGTCCCTGAGTAACGATTCTGTGTCCCTCAGTAACGATTCTGTGTCCCTGAGTAACGATTCTGTGTCCCTGAGTAACGATTCTGTGTCCCTGAGTAACGATTCTGTGTCCCTGAGTAACGATTCTGTGTCCCTGAGTAACAATTCTGTGTGTCCCTGAGTAACAATTCTGTGTCTGTCCCTGAGTAACAATTCTGTGTCCCTGAGTAACAATTCTGTGTCCCTGAGTAACAATTCTGTGTCCCTGAGTAACGATTCTGTGTCCCTGAGTAACGATTCTGTGTCCCTGAGTAACGATTCTGTGTCCCTGAGTAACGATTCTGTGGCCCTAAAGTCTCTGTGGCCCTAAACTCTGTCCCTAATACAGACAGGTCTGTCTCTCTTGAATGACTGGAGGCTAATGGAGAATTCTAAGATGGCCGCAATTTATAGCTCCACCATTACACAGTGCTGGCTGGCTGGCTGCTGATTGGCTAATGCGATCACATGTCATGAATGAATGCATTATGGGTCAGCGCGCCTTGTCTGCGCGCCTTCCCAGAGATCCCCGCTCCGTCGCCACACATGTCGCCGCCATTTTTGGGAAAATTCGATTCGTGCATCCGAAGTTTGCTAATTTTCGGATTCGGCGCGAATCGAATTTTTCCTGATCTTCGAAACGAATTCCACTTCGCCATGTTCGATTCGCTCATCTCTAGTAGTGATCTTGCTTCAATATACGTATAGTGCCACCACTCACCAGATGTGCTGAACAAAATGTAGCACCTCACTACATCAAAATAGGTCAATATGCATTTAAACATCTCAGAAAACAAATTTCTCAAAAATAATGTTTCAGTACAGGATATTCCTCCCAATAATATGATCAGACAAGAGAGACAATGCTCATATAGTGTTGCAACATTATTTTTATTAAAACAAATCTACAAAAATAAACCTATGTACATGTCGGCAGCAAAACGTTAGCAAAACGTTAGCATAAAGTGTGTAACGTATGCAAAGCTCCAAATAATGTATCTTTATATGTTTTTATTTTTCAGAGATTTATTTTATTAAAATAACATTGAAAATTTTCCAAGGCTGAGGGCTGCTCTCCTAGACTTAGACTGGGAAGGGATATTGTCATCGAAAAAACTACAGAAAAGAAGCGGGAATGATTCAAATCGAATGTGGGCAAATACACTGCAAAATATATTCCTATCAGCAATACGTTTAAAAGATTAAAAAATAAAAGTTTTGTGGCTCACATCCAAAGTTATAAAAGCTTCAAAATAATAAGGAAATCAAAATGATAAATATGAAGGAACACTACCATCATTTAAAAGTGAGTGGGGACAAAGAAAAGGCACATGTATTAAATACACTTGTTAGGAATGGACTGGCCAGCAATGGTGGGACTCACCTGCCTTTTGATCTGCAGTACCAGGGCTGGCCAGCGGGTGTGTCCCTGCAATCAGAGACTCAACTTTGCAGCCAGCTAACACCTGTAACTGATGATGCTGGGGTATTTAAGGGATGGCCAGACCCACAGACTCTGCCTTGGTGTTGTGTTTCTCTTGGCCTTGTATCCTGTTCCTGCTCTCTGTTCCTGTCTGATTCTCTGCTACCTGTCCTGATCCCTGGCTTGTGACCCTGACCATCTCTCTGCTTGACCCTCTGTACTACGCTGCTTGCTACCTGCTGAACCTGGCCTGTGACCCCGACCATTCTCTGCTTGCTCCCCCTGTACCTACCTGCCCTATTGATATTGACCCGGCCTGCCTGACGACGCTTGCTTGTATATACTGTTATCTGTGGGTGGTTGGTTTGGTTTGGTTGCACTGTGTTATGTTTTAGTATTGCACTGCGTTTATGTTTGTATTGTTAGTGTTAATAAATTGTATTGTTTATCACATATCTGAAGTCTGCGTTTCCCTGCATCAGTCACACACCTCTGGTCATACCTGGGAGCCCTGACATTACACCAAGGCCAATCCTGACCAGAAGTGGCTGCACAGGGAAGCCATCTTGGCTTGTTGATGGGAAGGATGGATCTTGATGAGGTTGAGTATTTATATCTGCTAGTGTTTGATGACAGGGAGTATGCTTATCAAACTCTGAAGGAGTATACCCGGGATGAATTGCTAGAATGTATACGGCTCGCTCATGTTCTAGTAGATCAGGGCACAGTGTTCTCTGAGGTGCAGCCATTGATTGAGGTTTGTGCAGAGTTGGTTTCATCTGGTTCCCCCGAATGCAGGGATGAATTTTTGCCACCATTTAGTGCAGACCAGGTAGAGTCCCTGGTGTGGTTATTAGAGGATGATGTGGGTTACTTTCTGGAGCGTTATTCCACATGTTCACCACTGACACTGCGAGATTGTATAAACGCAGTGCAGTCATTGACCAGACAGGCTTTGTGTAAGCTCAGCTTTGTTCAACCCCTACTGCAGACATGGACAGACTTGTTGCACCCAGCCTCAGTCAGCTTACAAAGACCCAGTCCTGCTTCTAACTCTACTCCTGTATTCCCACCAGCTCCTCCAGTTACAGCCCAGTATACTTGGCTATCTACCGCATGTCAGTACCCTGTTCCTACTCGCTGCACCTATCCTGCCTTTAATCCTGTAAAAAAGCCCTCTGTAGCAACTGCTCCCTCTCCTGTTCCATCCTCCAGTTCTTCTCTGTCTCCAGCTGCTCCATTCGTTTGCAGACCTGCGTTTACTTGCAGTGCTCCAGTAGTTAAAACCAGAAAAAAGCGAAAATTCTTTCCAACCAATACCATCCTGCCAGTATCCAAACCGGTGAGCCTGCCTTCCGTGGTTCAGACTGAAGCCTCTACTTGGCCTGAAGCCTCTACGCGGCCTGAAGCCTCTCCTCGGCCTGAAGCCTCTACGCGGCCTAAAGCCTCTCCTCGGCCTGAAGCCTCTCCTCGGCCTGAAGCCTCTCCTCGGCCTGAAGCCTCTACTCGGCCTGATGCCTGTACTCTGCCTGATGCCTCTACTCGGCCTGAAGCCTCTACTCGGCCTGAAGCCTCTCCTCAGCCTGAAGCCTCTACTCGGCCTGAAGCCTCTACTCGGCCTGATGCCTGTACTCGGCCTGATGCCTGTACTCGGCCTGATGCCTCTCTTCAGCCTGAAGCCTCTACTCGGCCTGATGCCTCTACTCGGCCTGATGCCTCTACTCGGCCTGAAGCCTCTACTCGGCCTAATGCCTCTACCCAGCATGATGAACTGATCCAGCCTGACGATCCTATTAGGCCAGTTGACTCGATGCCGCTGTTGATCCAGATGATCCGGTACCTGATCCGGTGCCCGCTGTCGTGCCAATTGACTCAGAGCCCGCTGTCGTACCTGGTGACTCGGTGCCCACTGCCTTGCCAGATGACGCGGTGCCCGCTGGCAAGCCAAATGACCTGATGCCTGGTGACCTAGTGTCCGCTGTCATACCTGATGACCCGATGCCCGCTGTCGAGCCAGACAATCGGTACCTGATGACCCGGTGCCCACTGTCGTGCCTGTTGACTCGGAGACCACTGCCTTGCCAGATGACGCGGTGCCCGCTGTCGAGCCAAATGACCTGATGCCTGGTGACCCGATGCCCGCTGTCCAGCCAGACGATTCAATGTCTGCCCCGGTGCCCGCGGTCATGCCAGTTGACTCGGAGCCCACTGCCTTGCCAGATGACGCGGTGCTCGCTGTCGAGCCAAATGACTTGATGCCTGGTGACCCGATGCCCGCTGTCCAGTCAGACGATCCAATGTCTGACCCAGTGCCCGCGGTCATACCAGTTGACTCGGAGCCCACTGCCTTGCCAGATGACGCGGTGCCCGCGGGTCGAGCCAAATGACCTGATGCCTGGTGACCCGATGCCCGCTGTCCAGCCAGACGATTCAATGTCTGCCCCGGTGCCCGCGGTCATGCCAGTTGACTCGGAGCCCACGGCCTTGCCAGATGACGCGGTGCCCCAGCGGGTCGAGCCAAATGACCTGATGCCTGGTGACCCGATGCCCGCTGTCCGGTCAGACGATCCAATGTCTGACCCAGTGCCCGCGGTCATACCAGTTGACTCGGAGCCCACTGCCTTGCCAGATGACGCGGTGCCCGCTGTCGAGCCAAATGACCTGATGCCTGGTGACCCGATGCCCGCTGTCCAGCCAGACCATCCAATGTCTGACCCAGTGCCTGCGGTCATACCAGTTGACTCGGAGCCCACTGTCGTGCCTGGTGTCTCGGTGCCCGCCGCTCCGCCTGGGGGCCCGAGACCTGTCGCTCCTCCTGGGGGTCCGGCGCCCGCCGCTCCGCCTGAGGGCCCGAGACCTGTCGCTCCACCTGGGGGTCCGGCGCCCGCCGCTCCGCCTGAGGGCCCGAGACCTGTCGCTCCATCTGGGGGTCCCGCGCCCCGCCTGCTCCGCCCGAGGGCCCCGAGACCTGTCGCTCCTCCTGGGGGTCCGGCGCCCGCCGCTCCGCCTGAGGGCCCGCTCTACCTGAGGGGTCCGGCGCCCGCCGCTCCGCCTGAGGGCCCGAGACCTGTCGCTCCGCCTGGGGGTCCGGCGCCCGCCCTCCGCCTGCCGCCTCGCTCCGCCTGAGGCCGCTCCGCCTGAGGGCCCGAGACCTGTCGCTCCGCCTGGGGGTCCGGCGCCCGCCGCTCCGCCTGAGGGCCCGAGACCTGTCGCTCCTCCTCTGGAGGTCCGGGCCCGTCGTCCGGCGCCCCGCCGCTCCGCCTGATGGGTCGCCCCGAGGGGCACGATGCTGTCGCCCCGCCTGGGGGTCCGTCGCCCCTCCTGGGGGCCCGCCTGTCGCCCGCCTGAGGGCCCGAGACCTGTCGCCCGCCGGGGGGCCTGTCGCCCCGGGGCCCGCCGCCGCTCCGCCCGGAGGGCCCGAGACCTGCCGCTCCTTCTGGAGGTCCGGCGCCCGTCGCTCCGCCCGGTGGGGGTCCGGCGCCCCGCCGCTCCTGTAGCCTGGGGGCACGATGCCTGTCCGCCCGGGGGCCCGGTGCCTGCTGCTGCCCGGGGCACGATGCCTGTCGCCCCGCCCGGTGCCTGGGCCCGGTGCCTGCCGCTCCGCCCGGGGGCCCGGTGCCTGCCGCTCCGCCCGGGGGCCCGGTGCCTGCCGCTCCGCCCGGGGCCCTCCGGGCCGCTCCGCCCGGGGGCCCGGTGCCTGTAGCCCCGCCCGGGGGCCCGGTGCCTGCTGCTCCGCCCGGGGGCCCGGTGCCTGCTGCTCCGCCCGGGGGCCCGGTGCCTGTAGCCCCGCCCGGGGGCCCGGTGCCTGTAGCCCCGCCCGGGGGCCCGGTGCCTGTAGCCCCGCCCGGGGGCCCGGTGCCTGCTGATCCGCCCGGGGGCCTGGTGCCTGCTGCTCCGCCTGGTGGCCCGCTGCCTGCTGCTTCGCCTGGTAATCCGATGTGCCTCTGCCCGGAGTCCTGCCCGATGTGCCTCTGCCCGGAATCCTGCCCGATGTGCCTCTGCCCGGAGTCCTGCCCGATGTGCCTCTGCCCGGAGTCCTGCCCGATGTGTGCCTCCTGCCCGGAGTCCTGCCCGATGTGCCTCTGCCCGGAGTCCTGCCCGATGTGCCTCTGCCCGGAGTCCTGCCTGGTGTGCCCCTGAGTCCTGCCCTGCCCGGTGTGCCTCTGCTCGATGTGCCTCTGCCCGGTGCCCGGAGTCCAGCCCGGTGTGCCGCTGCCCCGGAGTCCTGCCCGGTGTGCCAGTCTTTGATATCCCGCCAGTTGCCAGACCCGGGCGGTGGAACATTTTGCCCAGCTAGGACTGTTTGGAGCGTCCTGAGGCCGCTCCTTGAGGGGGGGGTACTGTTAGGAATGGACTGGCCAGCAATGGTGGGACTCACCTGCCTTTTGATCTGCAGTACCAGGGCTGGCCAGCGGGTGTTCCCTGCAATCAGAGACTCAACTTTGCAGCCAGCTAACACCTGTAACTGATGATGCTGGGGTATTTAAGGGATGGCCAGACCCACAGACTCTGCCTTGGTGTTGTGTTTCTCTTGGCCCTGTATCCTGTTCCTGCTCTCTGTTCCTGTCTGATTCTCTGCTACCTGTCCTGATCCCTGGCTTGTGACCCTGACCATCTCTCTGCTTGACCCTCTGTACTACGCTGCTTGCTACCTGCTGAACCTGGCCTGTGACCCCGACCATTCTCTGCTTGCTCCCCCTGTACCTACCTGCCCTATTGATATTGACCCGGCCTGCCTGACGACGCTTGCTTGTATATACTGTTATCTGTGGGTGGTTGGTTTGGTTTGGTTGCACTGTGTTATGTTTTAGTATTGCACTGCGTTTATGTTTGTATTGTTAGTGTTAATAAATTGTATTGTTTATCACATATCTGAAGTCTGCGTTTCCCTGCATCAGTCACACACCTCTGGTCATACCTGGGAGCCCTGACAACACTGCTCAAAATAATTAAAGGAACACTTTGAAAACCCATCAGATTTCAATGGGGAAAAAATATCATGCTAAATATCTACACTGATATGGACTGGGTAATGTGTTAGGAATGTAAGGATGCCCCATCGTTTCATGGAAATGAAAATTATCAACCTACAGAGAACTGAATTCAAAGACACCCTGAAAATTAGAGTGAAAAAATGCAGCAGGCTAGTCCAATTTGCTGAAATTTAATTGGAGCAACTCAAAATGACACTCGGTAGTTTGTAAAGCCCCCGCGTGCTTGTATGCATGCCTGACAATGTCGGGGCATGCTCCTAATGAGATGATGGATGGTGTCCTAGAGTATTTCCTCCCAGATCTGGACCAGGGCATTACTGAGCTTCTTGACAGTCTGAGGTGAAACCTGGCGGCGTCGGATGGACCGAAACATAATATTCCAGAGGTGTTCTTTTAGATTTAGGTCAAGCGAACACGAGAGACATTCAATGGTATCAATTCCTTAATCCTCCAGGAACTGCCTGCATACTCACACCCCATGAGGCCAGGCATTGTCGTGCACCAGGAGGGACCCAGGACCCACTGCTCCAGCATAGGGTCTGACAACGGGTTGAAGGATTTCATCGAGATACCTAATGGCAGTCAGGGTGTCATTGTCTAGCTTGTAGAGGTCTGTGCGTCCCTCCATGGATATGCCTCCCCAGACCATCACTGACCCACCATCAAAACGGTCATGCTGAACAATGTTACAGGCAGTTTAACATTCTCCACGGCTTCCCCAGACCCTTTCACGTCTGTCACATGTGCTCAGGGTGAACCTGCTCTCATCTGTTAAAAGCACAGGGCTCCAGTGGTGGACCTGCTAGTTCTGGTGTTCAGTGGTAAATGCCAATCAAGCTCTAAGGTGCCAGGCAGTGAGCACAGGGCCCACTAGAGAACACTGGGCCCACAGGCCACTCTCATGAAGTCTGTTTTCAGGAAGTTTGTTTCTTATTGTTTGGTCAGAGACATTCATACCAGTGGCCTGCAGGAGGTCATTTTATAGGGCTCTGGCAGTACTCATCCTGTTCCTCCTTGCACAAAGGAGCAGATACCGGTCCTGCTAATGGGTTAAGGACCTTCTACGAACCTGTCCAGCTCTCTTTGAGTAACTGCCTGTCTCCTGGAATCTCCTCTATGCTCTTGAGACTGTGCTGGGAGACACAACAAACCTTCTGATAATGGCACGTATTGATGTGTCATCATGGAAGAGTTGGACTGCCTGTGCAACCTCTGTAGGGTCCATGCATTGTCTCATGCTACCAATAGTGACACTGACCCTAGCCAATTGCAAAACTAGTGAAAAACAGTCAGAAAAGAGGAGTAGGGAAAAAAATGTTAGTGGCCTCCACCTGTAAAACCATTCCTGTTTTGGCGGTCGTCTCATTGTTACCCATCTAGCGCACCTGCTGTAAATTTCATTAATACCAAATCAGCTGAAACTGATTAACAACCCCCTCTGCTACTTAACTGCCCAGATCAATATGCAAGAAGTATAATTGACTTGTTGCTATACTCTGATTAAAAAGTCTTTCTTTAATTTTTATGAGTAGTGTACATAAAGCACCTGGACCAAATGGCACACACCCATATGTCTTCACAGAGTTGAGCTCTGTTATTTCAAAGCCATTATTTATCATTTCTATTGATTCTATTATTCTGTATTGACACAATGCCAATGTGGTGCCTATATCTAAAAAGGGATGAAAGTCTTTATCTAGTAACTACAGATTAGTTGAAATTCTGTAGTTGGTAAGATACAGTACTTGAGAGTTTAATAAAAGAACACATAGAAAATATTTGCTACAAAACAATATTTTAAGCAGTAGTCAGCATGGATTCATGAAAGACAGAAGTTATCAAACAAATTTGGTTTTCTTTTTATGTGAAGGTAAGCAATAACTTTGGCAAAGGAGTTGCTGTGGATATAGTATACTTGGATTTTGAAAAAGCATTTGACACAGTTCCCCACACATGGCCAATATGTAAGATAAAGTCTTGCAGGCTTACTAAAATGCAGTTTGTAAGTGGATAGAAAACTGGCTAGAAGACCATGTTCAGAGAGTAGTGATAATGATTCATACTCTGAATGGTCCAAGGTTATTAGTGGTGTACCCCAAGGTTCGGTGTTGGGAGACTTACTTTTTAACATATTTATAAATTATAAGGTGTTTGAGATTAAAAGTGCAATTTCAGATGACACCAAGCTATGTAGTGAAATAACATCCTTATGGGATATCTCTAAGTTACAAGCTGACCTCAATGCACTGTTTAATTGAGCAACTATGTGGCAAATGAGGTTCGATATAAAAAAATGTAAAGTTATACACTGTGGGGGCTAAAAACATGCATACACCATACATTCTAGGAGGAGAACAACTGGGGGAGTCAATGGCTGAGAACACATCATCACGCACCAGTCTGTCGCGGCGA